GTATTACAACCGATTCGACGGCTCCTTCGCCGTTTTGCCGTCGCCATCGTGTGGATACTGCTGTTCGGACCGGCGCCGCTGGTGCAACCACCTACTCCGTCAGCAGCAGTAGCGGGGCGCTGGGATGAGTCAGATAGCACTTTGATATCAGCATTCCACCTGGCAAGCCTGTTGCTTTTCTCACCTAAGTCATGGCTGTATGTGCCCCGGATTTATTGCACTACGCATTTCTTCCGTTTGTCATTCAAAAAATCCTCAGAAATTCAAAGTTCAGTGACTCAGCTTCCGGATCTCATATTTCTCGTCCTCCCCCACGGTCATCACTATAGGCACCTTTCGTAAACGCTTGATGGTTGTGATAAATTTTCTCTTATTTTTTCAAACCAGTGGCGTCCGATTCACGAAGTTTCATAAAACTTTAGATAAAAACTTAAAAATACTGTTACTTACCGTATGCCTCCTGTTCTTCCGTAATGTCTTTCAACCATGCTTTCCGCACATACTCTGCAGTGCCAGGATCTTTTGGTTTCAGACTAAAATCATTGTAAGCTTAGCTGGATTCACTAAATCCCACAGGTTACTTGTGCAGCTTACCTAAATTCGGGTAATCCTGGCTCATTTGGCTTCAAAACGATAGTATCTTCATCAAGTCTATGTGACGATACAGTATACTTATCTAGCTGAAATCGATGTTGATTTGTAGTCAACACTGCCCATCAAAAGAATTTCTCCACGGTAACACCAAAACTTACCCTAATTGTCGCGTAATGCGTGTAAGTCGGTGGCGTAGTCCGATCGTTCTTGTCCGTAATCATAACTTTGTTTTTGAAAAGAAAAACGTAACGCTCCTTGCTTGGTTCATTTCCTTCAGTTACCTCGAACGAATCCTAAAATTTCACATAAATATTCATTAAATTTCAATATTTTCTCCTCTCAAAATTCGAAAGCTCACAGCGGTACCGTATAGAAGTTTTCCCTAAAACTTCAAAAAAAAAACTAATATTGCCACTTACATGTCTAATAAGTCGTCCGAGTTTACCCGTGTCACCGGGATAGTGTTCAATATTGGTTGTGTAGACGAGATCGTGTACCCGTTGTGGAATTCCCATTGTTAGCTCCAGTGCTTTCTGCATGCTTTTGCTGCTCTGATTTGCTCTTGCTGTGTATTTGACAAACTCCTGCAAATAATAAACCCTTTTGTAAAAACTCTGATAACGTATAGGAAATCTTTCTAGAACTCGAAACTCACTTTGAAGTAATTTTGATAATGTGTGATCCGCTCTGCGACATTCTTCAGATGCTCAGAAAAAGTATGTGAACCAGCCTCGTATTTGTCAGAAAGTGACTGAAAATGAAGAATCAGAACTAGAAAAGACAGCGGAGAGTTAGAAATGTTGTAGATGCCAAAAACACAAGGCATAGAGCCCATAAGATCACAGATGTTTAAGCAGAACCAAAAAATTAGTAAACAGCCGGACAATAATTTTTTGGGGGCAGAGATATAATGAATGGATGCAGAGGCAGAAGCAAGACCGGACAACAGTTAAATTCTTGTGATACATTTTACTTAATCTATAAGCTTATATAATATGTGGGATACTATACATCTGCCAAATTATGAAAATAGCATGCTTGTATCTTGCGGTAAGAAAAGGCAGAGAAATATTTATGCAAATCTCGCTTCTTTATTCAGCAACCAGCAGACGATTTGTTCATCATTCACGCCAACAAGAAATCTTTCGTACCTAACAGATTCAGAATATCGTTTTCATGTGACTGCAGGCTAGAAGAAATTTTGAAATTTCGACTTCGGCTAACAAAGAGCCTGAGCACACCTCGGAATTTCAAGGTATAATCGGCAAGGTTGAACTTGAATGTATGAACTCTTTTGAAAAGGACTGCGAAAAATCGCATACATTTTTGTGGTAGTCCACAGATAAACTTGTAGCTGAGATAAAACAAATGCAGTGAGTCTCAGCGAATCAGAAAAAACTGAACTCATTGCGTATGATAAGCATAACAGAACAAAGGAGACTAAGTTTGTTACCAAACTTTCGCTACCAAAAATTACAGAGATCACCAACGATTCAAGTGCGGCAAAAT